AGTCTGTCTCCCTCCGTTTCTTGTTCTCCCATTTTTCCCTCCCTCCCTTTGTTTTCTTCCTTCCTCTCCTTTCCTTGCTGCTACTGAATCATACTGTTAAGCAAATCTCTTACATCATGCTGTTCTATCCCTATATTTCACAGTATGTCTAAAAAAAAAAAAAATGATATGTTCTTTTATAGGCACAATACCATGATCACGCCTGGCCAAATGAATAACAATTCTCTGACACCATCTAATTCCAGGTTCCCAGGGAAGTTTTAGAAATGCTAAAGGTTTGGGATTTCCATGGCTTCTCTAAGGAAAGGCTATGCCACAGAAAACCTGAATAAACTACAGGGAACTTTTTCTTTATACTCAGCTTAAACTTTCACCGGATTAGTACTTAGTGTACCCCCATGCGTTATGCTAATTAATTAATCTCCTTTTTAAATAGTTACACGTTTCAGATATTTATATACCTTTACCTTGTTTCCCCCCCATCTCTGCTTGGCTGAGTTGTGCGCATTTAATTCTTCCAAGCTTTCCTAATTAATCAATGCCATCAGCCCCTTAATCATTTTGGAGCTTTTCTTTGAACACCGTCCAGCTGGTTTCCACAAACCCAGCCATGAGCAGCCAGAAGCAGATGTCCTGTTCCAAGAGTGGTCTCCCCATTTCTTCTCTGAATGCTCAATCCCAAACCACAAGAGCCTTCCTTTCTGTCATAGTATAGCAGAAACAAATGTCTTGTTTTCTGCTTTTATTTCCAGTTGTTTTTCTGGCATTACAGCAAGTGTTTCATTCCTCCCGTTAAACATCTGTGCTTCCGATCACTTTCCTCCAGATGTCATAGACACAACCTTTTGGAGTCAGAGACCCAGCTCTGCCACTCCGGCTATGTGACTCTTGGCAAGTTACCTAGTACTCGAAGCCACTTCAAGTTCTTCAGCAAAATCAGATGCAGACCCATCCTTCATACTTCACAGGACAGTTGGCTGGTCAAGTGAGACAATGGAAGTAAAAGGGTTTTTACTAACTTCAAGGGTATGGACTAGTATGACTGTGTCTACTAAATATACTTAGTACACTTAATATGCAAAAGGTGAGCATCTACATTCCCTAAAGATTTTTTTTTAAATTGGCATCAAAAGCCTGTTGCCCCACTTAGTTATCTTTGCTGCCAGGTTACTCTTTGTTTCAGCTCAAATCTTCCTACCAAAATAATGTCTTACAAAGTGTTTTTTAAACGTATACTTTGAGTCCATAAACCATGAGAATTTTTTTTTTTAATGTTTCAGTATCCTGTTATTTCAGGATATTTGTTTACATTAAATAAACAATATCTCAAGAAAAAAACTATTTTAAATGTTACATGCAATAAACACTAATTATTCAAAAAATGATTTTTTATATATCACATGCAATAAACATTAATATTTCAAGAATAAAAGGATTTTAAGCATAATATTACCAAAACTGTACTAACATAGTATGATATCACAAGAGTTGTAGAAAATATTAAAAATCTGCAAATAACAGGATTGCTTCTATTGTTTTCTAGTTTATCATCCCCCCCCCCCCGATCTATTTTTATTCATCAGTTTATGTTGTTCATTATATTCCATAAATGAGATCATATATTTATTTTTCTGACTGGGTTATTTCACCTAACATGATGCTTTTAAAGGCTATTTTGTCGGATGTGAGCATTGCTACTCCAGCTTTTTCTTCTTTCCTTTTTTTTCCCCATCCCTTTGCATGCAATTTTTTTCCCCCATCCCTTTCACTTTCATCCTGTGTGTGTCTTTTGTTTTGAGGTGGGTCTCTTGTAGACAGAATATAGTTGGATCATGTTTTTGTATTCACTCAGCTACCCTACACCTTTTGATTGGGGCATTTAATCCATTTACATTTAGGGTTATATTGAGAGATACTTATTAATAGCCATTTTAATTCTGTACGGCTAGGTTTCTCTCTGTTTCTTCCTCTCAGCAATCCCTTTAGCGTTTCTGGCTTGGTGGTGATGAACTCCTTTAGCCTTTTTATTTATTTATTTATTTGTCTGGGAAGCTCTTTATTTGACTGTCTATTTTGAATGATAGCCTTGCTGGATAGAGTAATCTTGGTCTCAGATCCTTGTTTTCCATTTCCTTGAGTACTTCATGCCATTCATTCCCTTCTGTCCTATAGTTTCTGTTGAGAAATGAGGTGTCAGCCTTATGGGGACTCCTTTGTAGGTAAGTTTTCTTTTCTCTTGCTGCTTGAAGGTTCCGTCTTTAATTTTTGGCATTTTAATTTTGATGTGTCTGGGCGTGGGTCTGTTTGAGTTCTTGTTTGGGGTTCTCTTTGCTTTCTGAATTTGTGTGACTTTTTCCTTTACCAGGTTAGGGAAGTTCTAACTGGGCTCCCTGCCCTGTATTTCTGCCTCTTCCGTTCTTGCCACACGACTGCCAAATTAATCTCCTAAAAGTAGAGCTTCCATGTGAAGCCTTATTTAATTCTGGCTTTCAAGGTGCCAAACGATGGAACACTAAACAGCCTTTGCAACCATAGTCTGACATGAACGTTCTTCTCCATCCTCACCATTCTCCTCTTTCCTGAATGTGCCTTAAATTCTGCCATTTTTGATGTCTCTCCTCCTCAACTTCTTTCTTCTCTAAAGTCTTTGAATAGTATCTACTGTTCAAGGCACTCCTCCTCAATGCAGCCATCCTGTGTTCTCCCTCTTCTGTTTTTAGGAGCTCAACAGGAGTTTGCAGAAATTAATTACTGTTCCATTAAACAGCACTAGCGTTTGGGGCAATACCACTCACTGACACTTATGGAGTCTCTTGTACCAACTCCTTAATTTTTTATAGGTACATTTCTTGAGTTCTCATCTCAAGTATGTGAAAGCTTCCTTAAGGCTAGACGATATCTTCAAGACTTTTGTCTGCTATACATTGACAACTAACACATTTAAATATGAAATAAAATCACTTCATTATCACCTTTAGATCATACAGCAAATTGTGTGAGCCAAAAGATTACTGATGATGTAAGATATCTAGCCTCTAAGTTACTCCTCATGCATTAACTTGGGAGTTGGGAAAAGTTACTTTCTATGCCCTAAGTTTCTCACCTTAGTTGGGACTTATTTTAAAAGAATTAAGTCAACTAATGTCAAAGTACCTTGACTATAGGATTGCTAGTTTATTAAATGTTTTGCCATTACTTAATGGATCAACAGATTATTTTCTAAGGATATAAAATTAGTTGTAATGTTATGGTGTCTCTTTTTATATAGAGTTTTATTTCTAGCAAAATCAGTGGATAAAATAACCTCAACATCCTGGCAACTATCAATGCTGGGGAAAAATACTAAAGCATTAAGTTTATGCTTGCATTTAGGATGGAAGCTTCAAGAAAATGTCACTAACACCCTAAGAGCGAGAAAAAAATGGAAAACCTCTTGAGACCATGAGACATGAGGTTGCAAGGAAAAATAAACTCAGAGGAAATATGAATTGTTTCAGTTCTAAATAGCAAGGAAGAGGCAGGCATCCTAAAAGCAGGTAAGATGAAAACAACCAAGACTGTAATTAATTCGTAAAGGCCCCAAATGACAGTTTAGAAATTCCGGGAGTTCCAGACATAAAGGAAATCACTTCCTAGTTTCTAGGCCTAGAAATATTCAAGAAACGTGTATTTAACAATTTGATTAAAATGAAAAATAAAGGTTGGTACTTAAGTAGTAGACTCTTGGGAGAAAACTAATTTGTTTTTGGACGAGTCTTAAAATGTTAAAATCACCTTGATCAGTTTCAGCTGCTTATAAGAGATATAAATACTATTTTAAAGTTTAAATAAAATTTTAACTACTTATACTCATAAATATGACAACTATCAAATCTGAAGAATTATTAAGCAAAAGTTAAAACATGAAAATAAAATTTAAAAATAACACATAGGTCATGAAAATACTTCTACCAAGTATTACCTGCATAAATAACTCATACATATGTATAAAGAAACTATAAGACATTTATTTATAAAAATGAACAAGGTACACGAAAAGTCACATAAAAACAAATTAGAGCAATTTTAAACTCTCTCTTATACTTCTAAATTAGCAGCAACAACATATCAAATCCCCACCCAAAAAGCTGTAAACTTTTAGTGAACTGATAATATTGAAATTGTGACACTAAAATGTTACATCTTTTGGGAAAGCAATAAGGCAAACATATTAAGAATTATAAAATTGTTCATATTATTCCACTTAATAATCCCACTCCCAGGAATTTATCCTAATAAAATTGAAAATAACTTAAGTGTTCAGTAATAGAAAATAGTTTAAATAAACTGAATATGAAGTCTTGTTTAAAATAATAATGATCAAAACTAATTACATATCCGATAAAATGAAGCAAAAAACCCCCAGCCAATTAAAAAGCGATAGGTATTTTAAGATTGTAATTATGCAAACAAAAGGGGAAATATTAATACAAAATTCAAGTTCTGAAGTCACTGCACCAGGAGGTTGAGGATTATGGGGAATTTTCCCATTTGGCACAATTTTCTTCATTGTTTTCAATATAAAAGAGAAAGATCATTACTATTTTAAAGTGACATGTCTACTCAAATAATCTCTACTCTTCTCCATTAGTAAACCATACATGTCAATTTTTAAGTTGAGATGTAGAACAGAAATGCCCTTGTAAATGTCCTCTATAGGGACCTTATGCCTCTACTGGGACCTTCACTGCAGTGCGTGAACACATACCCTAACCTGGACCATTCCAACAGATGAGCAGCCAGTGCCATTTTTGGCTGACAATCTGCAGAGCACTAGATAGGAATAAAGAAAACTGTAAACTTTGAATTTACAACTGTGTGTGTTTGGCATTTTAGGTTACTATCTTGAGATATCAAACTCTTTTCCTTATAATGTTCTGTGACATACTAAGAATTACTTTTGCCCTAACCGGTTTGGCTCAGTGGATAGAGCATCTGCTGTGAACTCAAGGGTCCCAGGTTCAATTCCAGTCAAGGGCATGTACCTTGGTTGCGGGCACATCCCCAGTAGGGAGTGTGCAGGAGGCAGCTGATTGATGTTTCTCTCTCATCGATGTTTTTAACTCTCTATCCTTCTCCCTTCCTCTCTGTAATAAAAAAATAAATAAATAAATAAAATTTAATTTTAAAAAAGGATTACTTTTAATATTTTCATTTAAAAATATATAGCTAATGTGATGAAAATGCTCTCCTGAAGCATATACATTTTTACATTGAGTTTCTAACAGGTTAGCCATAAAGAAAATCATGTTTGTATTCATATTGAAAATTTTCAAGTTAGAGGTTGCAAGTAGGCAACCACCTTAAGAGAAATGCAACCTATAAAAATCAAGATACTCTTCTGTTGTGAAAATTTTTAATGATTACTCCTTTTGAAACTATATTTATTGAATAAATGAAGCAGGACTTAAACATTTCTAATTTCTACAGACTGGCTGCATAATATATTGTTTTTCCATAACAAAAATATGAAACTCTCATTACATAGGAAATCTGCTATTTTGTAATATGATTATGCTTTCAAAATTGTTAACAAGGGAGAGAAAATTTTCAGTATGCTACTTGTCTTTTAAGAAATATATATATTTTCACTGAAACTTGTTTGGCTCGTGGATAGAGTGTCGGTCTACGGACTGAAAGGTCCCAGGTTCGATTCCAATCAAGGGCATGTACATTGGTTGCGAGCACATACCCAGTAAGGGGTGTGCAGGAGGCAGCTGATGGGTGTTTCTCTCTCATCGATGTTTCTAGCTCTCTATCCCTCTCCCTTCATCTCTGTAAAAAAATCAATAAAATATTAAATATATATATATTGGTTTTTTTCATTGATTTCAGAGAAGGGAGAGAGAGATAGAAACTTCAATGATGACAGAGAATCATTGATTGGCTGCCTCCTGCATGCCCCGCACCGGGGATTGAGCCTGCAACCTGGGCTCATGTCCTGGTGGGGAATTGAACCATGACCTTCTGGTTCAAAGACTGATGCTCAACTACTGAGCAACACTGGCAAGGCATCAATAGGCAATTTGAATAAAAATCTTTGAGAAAAACTTTTTAAATATTTAGAACAAAAGAGATTAACTGGAAATGCATGAGGACTAACTCAAAAGCTAGATCATCTGAAAGCAAATAAAAAAACAATGCCCTTCAAAAGGTATAAATAAATACTAAAGAATAAAAACATTTTTAATTGAAGATACATTCTTTAGCTTACTTTTTAAAAACTTATTTAGTAACATTTAGTACAGGGTGGTCAACTGTGAAAAATATCAGAAAGAGATTTCACAGCTCCCAAAATATAAGCCATTGGGCTATCCCGTGTACTAACGGTAGAGGCAAATTTAAACATTTAGTCCTGTACTGACATCCCTTAAGTGGTAGCAATAATAATTTGGTATAATTATAAACATTTATTTAAAAAGTTTATTAATGTCCAAGAACAAACATAGCTATTACCAAATAAATGCATCCTTATCAAAGACATGTTCTTAATAATGGCAAACTCTCCAAAACGTAAAAATAGAGTTAAATACCAGCCTTTTCAAACATAGTGAAAGAATTTCAATACAACAGAGCCACCGGGGCCAAAAGAAAGTCGAAGTAACATTAATTGACATTAACTTTTGTGATGACAAAGAAACATGGAGCTCATATGTCATTTTTCTCTGATTAGAAAATGTGTTCAGCTTTTTCACAGAAGACTTTGAAGCAAGATCCAAATCAGAAAGCTGATTTTCCTGAATCCAATCTAACCACATAATATTCCAGAAGAACATTCCATGGTGGTACGGGATAGAACTGAACAACTGCAAGGCAGATAAAACTGTACCCTCTCGAAACTGTAAATGATGGACATTTTTCTTTCGTGCCAAAAAAAAAGGGGAGGGGGGGGGAGAGATTGTCCTTTGCCCGTAGCTTGTCACAGGGGATTCAAATGTCAGCCAAGAAATGATGACCCAGGCCAACGTTAACACGTCTTAATGTCACTGTCTTCTCCCTTGGTCTCATTCAGGGTTATATTTTCGCAGCTCAAGCCGTGTTCCTGAGATTCCTCGGGCTTTGGTTTCTTAAGCACCAGCTCTGCCGGATGAAGAGAGGAGCAATGCTCCAGGGACTGTGCAATGTCCTCAATGGTCCATTTGTCTTCGGGCAGGGCGTGCTCCTCCAGCGTGAAAGGCCCCTGTTTGGTCCGCGTCAGCTCCAGCACGCTGGCGCAGGAGGAGAGCTCTGCAGCAACAGAAGGTGGAAGGAAACCCATGGGTATTGAATCCCTCCCCTACCGCAGGCTATGGGTTCAAACGAGAGAAGAACTCCATTCACACCTCTCAAAACCACGCCCAATGTCAAGTTGCAATAATCCAACTTGAGAACCAAGAACTCTGGGATTCAGAAACGATTAAATAGCAAAATATTATTGAATAACTCGCTGTAGGAACGGCTTTCAAGTCCACACACGCTCTTCTCATCTGACCCCTGAGGCAACCCCGTGAGGTAACTGTCCCCCTCACTTGGCAGAGGAAGTAACATGACCTGTCCAGTGTCACAACTGCCAGCAAACACTGGGGCCAGAACTGCAACTTCCTGGCTCTTTGTAAGGCTGTGGCTTCCAGTTTTTAAAACACTTGACTTGTACCAAAGAAAATAACTTCTGGAAGGAAACATCTTTTTTTTTTCTTCCCCCTACTTTGGGTTCAAATATTTGGTACTTGAAAAAAAATGTTGGTCCTTCCATTCATCATTCCCATCGTTATTTTCTGTCTCTCCCTGCCCCCCCACCCCCTTCTCTCATTTCAAATGTTTAGCTGCAGCTGCCGATGCTGGTAATCATGTGCCATAAACCCCAGAATGCTTCCAAAGCTGGAGGCAGCCAGAGCCCAGTTCCTAAGGCCAGAATTCAGAGATATGACAAAATAGGAGATTCCCTCTTCTCATCAAAAAAGGAATATTACTCTCTGGATGATAATTCATAAGACATTTATGCTTACCTTTGCCAATGTCACTGACCAAGCTTCTGATATAAAAACCTCCTCCACACTCAACATCTGGAATGTTAACAGTGACATGGTAAATTGCTAACCGCCTATGAAACCCACTTTACATAGAAAAGATGCCTCTAAACAAATGTAAAAATGCACTATGCAAACAATCAGGTGATAAAATATTGATGTGCTAAGACATAAATTATTCATCCAGCAGCGTAGGTGTTTGTGAGATTGGAAAGTCAGAGTGCGGAGAAAGCAAACAGCAGAGACTCAGGAACAGGTTTTAAATTAACTGGCGAGGCATGCCACCGTAAGACCCCAGCCTTGTTCATTTAATAGGCTTTAAGTAGACCTCTCATCTCTGAGAACATGAGCTGAGGGTTTAAAAAAAATATTTTCAGATTTCCATGTCTTGTTCATCTGACAGGTTTGAAATGGTTAGACATCTCAGCTTTGCTATCATCAGCTGTAGATTTTAAAAATGGTTTCAGATTTGCAATCTCCACAATTACAGCAAACAAACAAAAATACTTTTTTTTTTTTTGGACTACGTTTGGGGTAATATACTACATGGAGAGCTCAGCATTCTTAAGTGTTTTCTTGGAAATATTCCTAGAGAAATCATAAAATAACTAAAATTACATGATGTTCTAAAACTAAATGCATATTTAAACATCTTCTTAACACAGCATAACACAAGTTTATTGGTTCAGAGCAGGGCTCTGGATTATCTTTATTCATCCTTAAAACATGCTATATTCCAGCTGCTTCTAGTCCTATCATACAAATAAAGCCATTTAAGGAAATTAATCAGTACTTACTACCTGGGGAGTTTAATTCTTTACTTTTTCCCATTAGCTCAAGAGTGGGGGCCAGAGCTGAGATAAAAAATGAGCACTAAGCCAAATGTAAATGGCTCAACATGCATGCACTATTTTTGGCTTGGGTGCAAAGACAAGGCTTTTGGCCTATCACAACCTCCAGGGGACAAAATGAAGCATTTAGAGCATCAAAGCCATCGGAAAAATCTGAGTTTTCTTCCTTTCACAGATAGTACCTCCTGTGCCAACCAGCTGCTATGTTTTCATGGGATGGAACAAAATATCTATGAGTGTGTTTTTCTCATTATTTGTCAAACATTTTTAAATCGGGAAACTAAAGAAAAGGAGTGACTTCTTTTTTCAATTGTACAAAAACCACTCTGCTGGATGACACGTTAAAGCAACAAAGTTCAGGAAAAAGGCTTTAGGAAATTACAGAAACCCTCTTTGGTATGCGCCATGAAATTAAGAGTAAGTTCAATTGGAGAAAGCCTAAGGATCCAGAACTACAGCCCTTGTATTCCAGGGCTTTAGCAACTACTTTTTTGCAACTAGGAGGTCATAAGATTTCCAAACAAGCAAAACAAACATTTTGGTTTTTAAGTTTATTAGATAACTCAAATTGAATTAAAATGTGCCCTGTGTCCAATAATGCATTTCTGCCCATGCATTATTTCCATGATCTTTAACAGTTACTTGCAGGTAACAAAGAAGGTGGGAAAAAAAATCACAACACTCCTAGATGTCCTGTCCTAAAACGAAAAATGCTTTGTTTTAAGAGGACAAATGAGTATGGATTTTATACTGAAGGTAAACTCTCAGATACTAGCCCAAATGGGGGAACAAATATCCGTAGGATAAATTTTAAAACATTAAATTTTGAAAATATATACTCACCTACCTTTCTTCATAGAGACCTAGGGTATGTTACTTTTAACTTTATAGAAAGATAATATAATACAACATATTAAAAAAAAGTCTACATAGAAAGGTATTTCTGAACCAACAACCTGTAGGTTTCCTCATTAAATGAGTTATCAAAGGGTATCAACAAAGCCTAACCTTCCATAAATTTGAATTTAAGACTCCCCAATATCCTAGGGACCCATTATATCACACAAAAGTGGCCAAATACAAAATAAAGGGACAGGTACATACAAACGATTTTTAATTTCTGTCTTACCTAACGTGAAAAACGGTGGCTGGAATTTCTGAAGGGAGATGCTGTACACCGTAACTGGCCTGGCAGGTTTTGCTTCTACTGCTTCCCCTCGCTTCATCAGAGTGGAAAGTCTCTGTCCATCCTTCTTTAATGCAGAATAGCTTACAAAGAAGAATTAAGAAAAGAATGACAGAATTTAATTCCAGATTACAGCATGGAGTGGATGGCTAGCGGCCCTTTGAACTGAAAGTCCTTCTAAGGAAAATGAACTGCTTATTTCTTCTCATCTACTCCAGAAGGGTGTCAGGGATAAAGCTCCTAAACATCTTTAAGACAAGCAGGACTTAATCAGAACTTACTACCTCGGGAGTTTAATTTTCCCCCCCATTAACTCAAGGGTGGGGGCCAGAGCTGAGATAAAAAAATGAGCACCAGATCAAATGTAAATGGAATGGTGCCCAATGAGCAATCTTGTCAATTCTATTCTTTCTCCATCTTCCTGGAGGTGGTCTGGTCATGTCCTCACTAGACCTCATTCTGGGTGAAGGGCACAAGGCCTCCAGTCACAGGATCTCAGCTATATTCCCATGAAATGATTTCCATTCCAGTAAAATTCATTTTCACATAGAAGCTATCAAAACGTTCCTGAAAAACAAATAAGCGAGTAATCTACTCAACAGATCTTAGCTGTGTGAGATACAGTTTTATTAGACTACAAAATCCTTGGAACAGTCACAGAGAAGAAAACAGTTCTTGTGAATACAAATGTTTAATTTATTTCAACAATAATGATCCAAAACAATGTTTATTCATCGCCTCCTGAAATGTTTAAGTCTTTACTTTGGAGGCAAAATTATCATTTGCTATGCGAAGTTTAAAACCTGTCTCACCATACATTTTAAAAAAGCAATTTTTTCCTTAAAGTGATGTCAACCATTGAAAAATAAAGCTACACACTTACTCAAATTTAATAACTGAACTTACAGGGGAGGTACCTGCATTATATTCCCAGTAAATTTCTGTAAAATGCCTTCAATATCTTCTTGTGTTATTTGATCTGCCAAAAGTGAACAATAAGAACAAAAAGAGTGACACTAAGACAACCACAGAAGTACATGTGCTATTTGCACAGCACCGAAAGCTCTGAAAATTCATTACAACTTTTTCCGACAAAAGCATACACTACAGTGTATGTTTTATCAGCAAATTCTACCTTGTTAAAATGAATAAGTTACACATTCGTGAGATAAAAGGGGAAGGAAGTCTTATATTGTCTAATATTAAAACCAAATTTCCTTGGCTTCCACTTATTTTCTCCAATAAAAATGATTCAATTATATAAATGTATTTAGTTGGTTCTTTGTACTATGGCCTTTAGAGGAACTTAGAAAATGTTGCATTAGCTACAGGAATGGTCCTGCAGTGACCAAAAACGAGGTGGTTAGAAAGCAGGAAAAAAACCATAAGTAATTTAATGTAGAATTGAATATATCAAATATCAAACATTCAAAATGGTACTGAATAGATTTCAAAACAGTTCTATGGCGTGATACACATTTTATACACTCACATTGAATTCTATCCCCCAGCAACGCTGTATTTATCAGTCTCCTTTCCTCCCTTCATTGCTCTTGCAATCTCTGCTATTTTCTTTATTTTATTTTTCTTTATTGATTAAGGTATTACTTATGTGTCCCTATCCCCATTGCTTCCCCACTCCCCTCATCTGCCGCCCCCCCTCCTGGTGTCTGCGTCCATTGGTTAGGCTTATATGCACGCCTACAAGTCCTTTGATCTCTCTCTCTCCCCCTTACCCCCACCCTCCTCTACATTCCCTCTGAGTGAACACTCTCAATCAGGAGTCTAACTTTTGCCTCAAAAAATAAACCGGGGCAAAAAAAAAAAATATGCATACCAAAGCATGATTACTAAGCATTTTTTAAACAACAATTTTAGAAAATCTGAATGAAGACATAAATAAAGCTTTCAATATGCCAAAGAATGTATAAGCATATATGCAGAGCCCATGAACAGACAATAGGGTGGTGATGGCCTGGGAGGAGGGGGTCAGGATGGAGAGGGTAAATGGGGGGAGAGGGGGACAGGACATCTGTGATACTTTCAAAAACAGAGATAAATTTAAAAATAACACTCTAAATTAAAAAAAAAATAAATATATCACAGTCACATTTTCAGCTTGTTTGATACTTTCAACCAAAATGATTCACTATTAATGTACATTTCTACAACTAAAAATTATTACACACTGAAATTCATTATTTGGGATTTTCATTCTTACAGAAGTCTTAATCAATAACACACTAAATTATACACGTGTTCTAAAACTTAGGTCATAGATAATAGAAAGAAATTACAGTGCTTTGTAGGACATCTAAATTTTTTTTTGTATAAACTTACTATTTTTTACTTTATTTAAATAATATTAACAAAAAATAATTAATCCACTTTGAATGACTGTCCTAACACCAGAATAAAAATGAAAGGAGAGCAAGATTCAATACCAACACAGCAAGACAGTCTTAACCTCACTGTGACCTTGATTCTTCCAAGCTCAAAAGGAACAAAGGACCGGAATCTACTGTAGACTCAAACAGAGACGAGCGACAGATCTGAAAAGAATTTCTCCAACACCTAGCTGCTCCAAAAAGGCAGACCTCAGAAGGCTATTCCGTCCATCCTATTTTTCAAACAGACATAGCTCATGATACAAATGAGAATTTTTCCATTAAAATTTTACTCTGCTGCAACATTAAAACAGAGTAAATTAATTACTGGTGGCACCTTAGTTTAGCAAAACTTCCAACCTAGACACAATGCTGGCAAGAGCAGAAAGAAATGCCATTGTTGATAAAATTGCAATAGTTCATAACTTAGCAACACATTTTTAAAAAATAAGACCAAACAGCTTTCACTGTGAGGCTGGTCTCTTTACTGACATTCCTGCTAATGTGTGTTCTCCTCTGTCCTGTTTGGATGGCTTTTCCTGGCATTCCCCCACACAAGATGACAAGATATGCCTTTCTCAATCTACGTCTACCCTGTGTCTCTTTCTCTGACTTAATATCCCAGGCATTTTTATGGGTTGTGTTGTTTTTTTCTGCAATTAATCAGACTCGACTTTACACTGTTATGTACACACACACACACACACACACACACACACAAACACACAAAACATAGGTATGAACTCGATAATGAAATTCTAAGCTCCTTAGAGGCAAAGCCAGCTTTTCCTCTCATACAATATACACAACTGCAATGGCACTCAAGATAGTCTTGCTGAATTTAAGTTGCTGTGAAATAATACATTTCAAGGTCTAAAGGGAATTAAAAGTGACTAGGCCAGCCAAAACCGGTTTGGCTCAGTGAATAGAGCGTCAGCCTGCGGACTGAAGGATCCCGGGTTCGATTCCGGTCAAGGGCATGTACATTGGTTGCGGGCACATCCCCAGTAGGGAGTGTGCAGGAGGCAGCTGGTCAATGTCTCTCTCTCATCGATGTTTCTAGCTCTCTATCTCTCTCCCTTCCTCTCTATAAAAAAAATCAATAAAATATATATTTTTTTAAATGTTACCATTATTAAAAAAAAAGGGACTGGGCCAATCATTCATCCATCTAATGTTTGAATCACCAGACATAAAGCCTATGCAAAGTTACTTTGCAATAAAAGTGAATATATTTTATTTTTTTTAATATATTTTTTGATTTTGTACAGAGAGGAAGGAAGAGGGATAGACAGTTAGAAACATAGATGAGAGAGAATCATCGATCAGCTGCCTCTTGCACACCTCCTACTGGGAATGTGCCCGCAACCAAGGTACATATCCTTAACCGAAATCAAACCTGGGACCGTTCAGTTTGATGCTCTATCCACTGAGCCTAACGGGTTTTGGCAAAAATGAATATAATATTTTAGTATAAAAGTGAATATGATAAATATTATAAATAAAAATTACGTTCACTACTAAATGAATATGTAAGTAAGTATGCTGGCTATCTCTAAAACATAGCACTGCTTTCTGTTCGGTAATAGACACCAGACCTTGGGAAGCAGAAGCAGCTGGAATCCAAATAATAATAATAATAATAATAATAATAATAATAATAATAATTGTCCCTAGGATATAAAAATAAAGACTCTACCTCCATAGGACTTAAGAAGGAATGGAGAATAAAACCTCCAGAGCCAGTACATCCAATAAGTAGCCCAGAGAAGCCCATTTGGCAGAAGGGATGGGTATGATCTAAGTGCCGCAGGGTGTGGGTAATTATTCTTTACCCAGCAAATTAATAAATCATCAATGTGACAGCTTTAATTTGAAGTTAACTTTTAAAGCTCGTTCGCATAAAATTAATGCATACAAGATCACGTTACATGCTATTATTTGCTCAAAATGTAGTGCCTCTTTCCATGAACTTGCAAGATGATGGTGCTTAATTGGACTATGAAGTAAGAAATGACATGCTAGAGTTTAAAAAGATACTCGACCACCATAGAGCGCTGCCACCATAAGCAGCTGTTACACTGGAAGAAAATGCAATAAAGAGCTGCTTTGCAACATCAGACCACGGGCAGCAAGCACTGCCATCCCCGAGAGAAGGGAGGGGAGCAAGGCCGGGCCCAGCACCACTTGCTCCAGCGTGGAGGAGCTTTCTGGACTGTGGTGCGGGGAGGGAAACCCCGAACAAAGCACTGTGATCTCGCCACCAGAAGGCAGACCCGGGCAGGCGGCGGCAGCTGGAGCTGGAGAGAACCGCTCAGCTGTCTATAGGCCTCCCGCTGAGGCCTGGCTCAATTCCAAGCTGCACATATAGACAGCGGGAGCTGCTGCAAAATTAACCAAAGAACTGGTACCCACGCTCCCACAAGGCTGAAGGACGTGTGAATTCCCACCATCCGGAATGAAGAAATTCTATCGAGACACTAGAAAAGCCTGTCTCAGGAGTAAGGCTAATCTAGACCTGAAAAACGGTCTACTTTACACCAACCCTAATAGGAAATCTACACAAAAGTGACCGGAATTAGTAAGGGCGTTTAGCAACGTTGAAAGACAAAAGACCATTATACAAAAATCAACTCCATTTCCCTATATTACCAATGAATTGTCAGAAATTAAAAATTTTAAAAATCCAATTATAACAGCATCAAAATAATGCTATTAAGAAGTAAGATTTGTATGCTGAAAAACTACAAAAATATGGCTCTGTTTTTGCAACTTTTCTTTAAGTTTGGTGTTATTTCCAAATTAAAAAATCATGAAAAATATAAACAACTTGATACCAGTAAATTCGAAAATTTAGATAAAATGAATGAGGAAGCGGTTGGTCTCAGTACTGGGGTAATAGGAACCATATAGCGAGGACACTCACCACAAAAGTACAGAGAGGCCAGGTGCTGGGCTGCCTTTAGGTAAATTAAGGAGTGATAAGACTAACCACCCCCCAGAAAGCCTACTTATAACTCACAACTGGTGACATGATAACGTAGGTGAACTGACTGTACAAAACTGCTGCATTATAAATAGCATGAGAACTGGGACAGTTGCTAGGAAACCATTTCATTTATCTACCCTTTCTTAAGGCAGTTAAAAAAAAAAAAAAAAAAAAGGAATAGTAGAAAAATTAAGCTGGGCTCAGTGAGTTATGCTTTATTTCCAGAGAAACAGCTTTCTCTTTGCCATATCATTTATGTACTCCAAAAGCAGAGACATGACTAGTTTGAAAGCACTAAACATGGTGCATTTATCTCAACGGCTAAGAAGCTAACTGTAAAATAAATGAGCAAATAAAACAAACGAGTGCAGGACACAGGCAGCACCTAACAGGACAGCCTCTCTGCTTCGTTTCTCATTTACTAGGAAAAATGTCCTACATCCTGGCAACAAGTATTTTTCAGAAAGGAAATTATTTGGAAGAATTCTGAGCATTATAAAAATTGACTATAGAAAAAGAGGCAATGATAATAAATCTTTATTAGCAAACTCATACCAAATAAACAACCATTTCAAGTCATTTTTTTAAAAAATGTACTAGATACTAAAATCACTAGCAGTATCAAGTTAGAGAATTCTGAAGTCACACAAAAAATTTTTTCTTGATGTTAAAAAATAGAGAACGTTAGATGAATGCCATACCATAAGGTTTTTCTTCTGTTATTTTCCCTGTGGAATCCAGCGTGTCGGTAGCTTTCCCCAGCTCTCCAATGGCAATATACCTCTAGGGGAAGAGAAACAGGGAGAAACGCAGGCCATAACGGTAAAGAAAACTGTCATGCATGTTCTGAAAGTCATACAGGATTTTACTAATATGACCAGCTTTGTACAAAATAAAGGCAAACATAATAGACTGCAAGTGTTTTGTTCGTTTTTGATATGTGGGAAGTACATGTGTAAGTTGGAGAACATTAGCAAACTTCCCACACCAGCTAATGTGACAAAGGAAAACGTGATTTTATCAATAACTGTGGCTTATAAATGGCCTATTTTTTTTTTTAATTTTAAATTCTTTATTGTTTAAAGTATTACATATGTCTCCCTTTCCCCAACCCCTCCATTGACCTCTTGCCGGCTGCTAAATGGCCTACTGTTGCACACAGATTTCTAAAACTAGTTTTAGTTGGGAAGGAAAATTTTCATATATACTTTGAGAATGGTATAATATACTTGTATATGGCCATCACAAGTCAACAATTTTACCACACATACAATTACAGTTGACTTTAAAATAAATCAATTTACTACTTCTTATATGAAATACTAAGACTAATCTTTGTAACCTGATTATGCATTTAAAGAAAAACTAATTATGTAGCTCCCTTAAAGGAAAAAAGTCACTTCTAAGAAATGGTCATTATTCACAAGGAAAGAATTAGATCATTCTTAGTTAACTCAGGGCACACTCACTGGACTACATAGTCTTTATACTTTTCTCATTTGGTCAAATGAAAATGTTAATTATAGCATCACATAGAATAGAGAGAAAAATGCAAGGTAGGAAATTCCCACTAAGCAAAATCTGAAGCTATGTCATCCTCATCCTAGGACATGCTTATTGATTTGAGAGAGGGGGGAAGGGAGGAAAGAGGGAGGGAGGATGAGAGGAAGAAAGAGAGGAAGAGGAAGAGGGAGGAAGGGAGAAAGGGAGGAAGGGAGGGAGGGAGGGAGAGAGAGAGAGAGAGAGAAACATCAATGTGAGAGGGAAACATCAATCAGTTGCCTCCCAGCAACCTTTCAATGTATAAGCCAATGTTCCAAGGAACTGAGCAACACCAGCCAGGGCTATGTGAGCGATTTTTAAAAGAGGAAGCTCCAGTTTATTAACAAGATTATTATGCTAGTAAAGGGACCAGACACAAATGAAAAAAATATTAAACTTCAAATCCTCATAAGCAAGCAGACAGTTTATAACAGCCTCGTGCCCCTCTATGAAATAACCTTCTATTATTCAGTTCGGGTTTATTTTTACAAATAAACACAGAAGGAATGTTCTAATGCATTTGAACTGACTTTTAAATACAGTAGGGTGGAGTGGAAGAGCACAGACTCAAAGGTTAGAACCCTCACTCCACACAATCCGTAAAGTAAGCTAAAGTAGTCTTTCCTATTACAGCCTCATTTCCATTATCTTAAAATGGGGATAACAGCCCTAGCCATTTGGCTGGATCGTTGGCCTGCAGACTGAAGGGTCCCAGGTTTGATTCTGGCCCAGGGGGCAGATATATTATATATATATCCTATATAATAAAAGACTAATATGCAAACTGTCCCCTTGACCAAGAGTTCAACCAGCAGGCAGGCCAGCCAACTGCCCATGTCCCCTCCCCCTGACCAGGCTGGCAGGACCCCACCCATGCATGGGTTCATGCACTGGGCCTCTAAAATAAATAAATAAATAAACAAACACACACACACACACACACATACACACACACACATATACACTGAGTGGCCAGATTATTATGATCATAATAATCTGGCCACTCAGTGTATATACACAATCCCACCTTTCTGTGCTATGGGGTCTAAAGTATTTCTCACTGGCCTAAATTCTACATGGAGACTGGGTTTTAGAGCTGTTTATGCTCCATGATGTATATCTGGAAAGTGTGAATTCTGTGAATGAATTCATTACAGCATAATTCCACCACATTAAAACCAATGGCGGTCCTGAAGAATTTTTCAAGTTTCCACTGAACAGTGTGCTCTTTGGGATTCATGGCTTCTTGCTGATACTATAATAATATTACTCTAGTCTCCACTTCACTCATCCTCCAGCTCCCTGAACCCCACTAGACAACATGAAAAGCAAGTTGGCTTCTGAACTCATCAGAAGAAAGGAATATGTTTGTATGACAGAGAGTGTACATAATTATTTTCATCTCAACGAAGCGCTGCTTTTTCTGGAGTTTGATTTTGAAAGCCTGTGACTCAAAGTTTCACAAACAAAGGGATATTATTCAGAATGAGGAAGAGCACTTAAAAAAGCACACCACCAAACCAAAAACATGTGGCTCTGAGTGCCTTCATTAAAAAGGGCGTGCTTTTGTACAGTTCACAAGTGTAAGCCCTTCAAAACTTTCAGTGTAGTGCTAATGAAATGCATGAATATTAACAAGAGGGTAAAGAAAAGGTACAAACGGAACCAAGTTGATTAAGGGGTTAGCCATGCTTAGATCTTAGAGAGCCAGCTACACTTCACAGGAACATTATTCGAGTCACGTTCAGAGTTGACACTGACTGGTTTACCCTAAAAATGCTACTGTATTCTTGGGGTACACTGCTGTCCTTGAGCACATCCAGGGTGGGAAAGTGGGTGTACCCCAACAATCACACTTGTTCAGCTGTTGGAGGAGATATAAGCTGCCTCCTGAGGAAATGCTGGCTTTGCCCACATAGATATGGGAGCAGCCGGATATCCGGTTAAGGTTGTTTAATAACGTTTCTTATACATGTACGTGCATAGAGGGTCATGATGTCAAATGAACTTCTTACTCTGGGTCTTGGTCAAAAAAGTTTGAAAGCCCCTGAATATGAAGATCTCTAAGATTTCTTCCGAAATCTATTTTTAAAAATGCATGAACAGTTTTTCACTGCTTTTGAGAAAAAATATCATCTTCAACAAAGTTAAGATAAAATCCAAATGACTTCATAGTTCGACGCATACACGATCTAAAATTCAAAGTATAAAAAATACAAATAGCTAATGAGATAATAATCCTCCTATTGAAATGCGAAGCACCCAGGAACCAGTTTCTGTGAAGAGAGGCATCTGGGATCTTCCATTTAAATTACTGAGGATTAGTGACTTCACTCTATGACATTCGGCTTTCCTCGTTCAACACCAAAATGGTTTGTGACAAATAGAGCTTAAGCCAGAGCCAACAATGTATTTACATTTCCAGTCGTCATATTTCTGGAAATATGCCTGGAATTTACATGTAAAACCTTTCCGTAAGATATAATGTGTTTTTGCATACTTGTGGTTAAGGGTAGATAATAAATATTCCAATGAACTCAAATATTTTATCTGGGGAAAACCCGAACAAATTCCTTAATGTAAATACATCGTTTTTTTGGTTATTATAAAAGTCACTTGTTTATGGTAAAGATTTTGGAAAATACCAAACCATAACAAAAAAGAAAATAAAAACCATCCATTATTCTATATCAAAATTGCTATTGCTTATAGTTTAGAGTTAACAAACAAATATTAAGCAACTGGCAAAACATACACATACATTTATCAGAAACAGATTCTAAGCTCTGTGTGTGTCACTATGTAAGCACAGTGTACATATTTACTGTAAAACAGTCCAATCCTGCGTTCTGAAACGACGTTTGCATTCTGTGCCTTTTCCACACCGACATTCTGAAGATTGCAGAGCAAACAACACTGAATTCTTCTCTAAGGCGTTAAGATCCATTTTAACGGAAAAAGACAGGTTTTATGAGAGTTGATAACGAAAATGTAATGTCAAAGGCATTACATTCTCCAGGGCTTTTTATTTGAAGGAAAGCTAACTTAGATCATTGCCACTCAAAGTGTGGTCCAAGATCCAATGTCCATGACGAGATTAATTTCAGAAAACTAAGGCGTTTAGAAATTTATTCAGCAATGTGACAATGCTGTAACATTTTAATTACGTTTTACGAAAGTCATCAATCAGTCTGCAATGAATTGAAAAACAATTTTAAACAGTCTTTTACCACCTTTTTCTTTTTAAACAAATTAGACAAAACAATTTAGACAAAAATTACTTTATCCACTATTTATATCCCACTCAGAGCGAGGGTTTTAAAACATAAAGCTTATCCAGGAACCTGCTGAAATTCTTCTCTACCTACGGGCATATGAACTGTCCTCCAAAGGCATTTTCACTGGTCCCTAGCCCCACTACTGTAACCCAGTCACTAATCCAATACAGAGGTCATTATCTCTCAGAACTGGAAGAGACCCTGGAGAGGATCAAATCGTTTTTCCCGAGGAAAACCTGAGAGGTCCAGAAAGGTTAACCACTTTGACATCTTGTTTCTCTCTCCTTCACCCCCCCGGTTTCCTCCTGAGGGTTCCTCCCTGAAGGCCTGACGCAGTCCACGGGTTTCAGCCACCCCCAATCCTGCACAGTCCCTCTTCTCCCTCCTTTCAAGAGCCTCAAAAAAAGTCAAGGCAGCTGAAACCGGTTTGGCTCAGTGGATAGAACATCGGTCCCAGACTGAAAGGTCCCAGGTTCGATTCCGGTCAAGGGCATGTACCTTGGTTGCGGGCACATCCCCAGTAGGGGGTGTGCAGGAGGCAGCTGATCGATGATTCTCTCTCATCGATGTTTCTAACTCTCTATCCCTCTCCCTTCCTCTCTGTAAAAAATCGATTAAAAAAAAAAAAAGTCAAGGTTACTCTAACAGGTGAATGATGTAACTTAGCCTCTTAAAGAAGCCAAATTCTTCTCTTCATCAAACATTTGCAACCACTGAACAAAGCATGTGTTTGTTGAAAAGTGCACCTTTTATAAAACGGTATTGTTTCTATAAAAATCCCAAGGTTTATTAAATCTTCCAATAGAATTTATGGTAAGTAACCTTGCATCTAAGAAATATAATTATATAAAAAAAAAAAAATAGATGATTTTTTTTAAAGATATGGGCACAGCAGAGTTTTTGCTTTTATCAATCAAATTTGTTTTTCAATCTTGGATTTCCAATGTATAGTCCTGATATTTTTAATTCTCAGGTATGATTGCGGAGTCTGTGAGGAATACTCAGGATGGACACCCACTCATGCAATTTGTATAGTTTATTTCTTACTCAATAAAATCCAACACATGGTCATTGAGGAAAATATTCAAGATAAAAAGAAAAACAGAACTATTGCAGTATTCTTACCTTGGATCCTGACAACATACTGGTCAACATTTTTGTTCCCCTTCCAATTCCAATCACTACAAATCAAAGAAAGAAATATTAGAACACTCTATTATGAAAGGTAGGTTTTTAAAATATCTACATATTCTGGTCATAATTTCCTGGCATACATAAAGTTTGGAAGAACATATATTTAGCATAAATTGAGGACTTCTAATACTCCAACCTACTGAGCTTGTCATGCAGCTAAGAAATTCTGAGGAGGGAATGGAAGAGGGATAGAGGGATAGAGGGATAGAGGAAGGGAAAGAGAGAAGGAGAGGGAGAAGGAGAGGGAGAGGGAGAGGAAGAGGGAGAGGGAGAGGGAGAGGGAGAGGGAGAAGGAGAGAGAGAGAGAGAGAGAGAGAGAGAGAGAGAGAGAGAGAGAGAGAGAGAGAGAGAAGAGAGAGAGATTTATTTACTTTCTCAAAGTGTAAAATATGATAGAAACCTCAACCAGGTCATTTACATAATAACAAGTCTTAGAAAAACCTTAAAGGATTCACTGGAATTTTATACGGGCATCAGTGAAAAATACATGGTACAATTAGCCATGGTATGACAGTCTTTTGACAGAGTTCATTATTAAACAAAGCAAAAGCTATCATCATAGCTAATGAACCATTTAAAGACGATTATTGCCCAGCTTTATACAATCAAGAAAACAGAATCATTAACAAATCAACCCAGCGCTAAGAACACGTGGTAAACGAGAGCCTGGAGAATGTCTGCTCACATAGACCATCCAGAAAGTACAATGGCCCACCTGTCTCTTCTCTGGCAAACATTATTTAACCACATGATAACACATTTCACTAGTCGAGCATAACAGGATATAATCATTTCTTCCTAAACAGTGAGCAAATGTTCATAAAAATTGAAATATTTCTCATCAATGGATACAATTTTGTATAAGAACACAATATAATCACCACAATTCAGAATAACAAGAAGTGAAGAGGAGAAATGATTGGCAAGCTGAGTTATCGTGAATATTTATAGCATACCACTCACTGAGTTTACCACTTATCAAAATCCACTTTTAAATGTTTTTCATTCATTCGCTCATTTAATCCTTATAACACACCTAAAAGGTAATGCGATTATCCCTATTTTATGGATAGGAAAGTTGAAATATAGACTAAGAACTTTGCCCCACATCTCACTAGTTAAAATTCAAACCAGACTGGCTGTTCCTTTTCATCCTCCTTCCCGCCTTCCTCACCCAGGCTTTCTTCCCATTGCCTGCCACCAGCCTAAATCTGCCTAAACCTCTGCACACCTGGCTCCTACATCCTACCCTTTCCTCCCAATCCCTACCATTTCTGAAAATCTATATTGTATCCCTACCCCAACAATCCTCAATAGGGTCCCAAAGCCTACAGTACCAACTCCTAAGCAAAGTATTCAAAGTCCACCCTTGGAAACCCAGCTCAAATCCCAACTCCTTCATCAGGTCTATCTCAACCCTTTTTAAGCATCCATGATAAAAGTAATATTAGTTTCAGGGCTAAGATAACAACTGTCTGCCTCCAATATGCTCTGTGGAGCATAATACTCTTCAGATGGCAGCTGGTACCACTGAGGCAAAAACTTCGTATAATAATTACAACAAAGACTCAATGCAATTTGTTCCCTTCAAGAATCTCCAAACGGTATTTCTTAAGCATCTACTATGCGCAGGGTCCCAAGAAGAAGACTTCGAATGGAATAGCACATTTTCAGACTCTGAAAAAGCTTAGAATCTTATTGGGAAAATAAAATTCAGACAAGGAAAGTCACAAGTGCTCCCCCTCAAAAGCCGCCTGGATCAATGAGGGAATAACACTAAATAACAATATTACAGACGATGATTAAATGTCAAAAGGAACAGAGAACAACTGCTGTAGGAGGTAAAGGAAGTGGCACTGTAAGTGGCTGTCAGGGCCAGAGAATGCTTCCTTCAAGCATTGCAAATGGGGATGTGCAGGATTTGAACACAGAGCAGAGAGGGGCATATTCTAAAGATGCAAGGACGGGCACAGTGGGTTTATCAATTACAGGGCAGGGGAGTGGGCCGCTCTGGCCTGCCTGGGATGCCAAACTGATTGCTCTGCTAGGTCAGTCACCCAGAATAACAAAATCCGAAACAAGAAGGCATCTGAGAGTCACCCGGCTTAACCCTCTCATTTTGTACCCAAGTAGACCAAGGCCGGTGAGCTGGGAAAGTAAGATTTTAGGAGGATTCATCCAGAAAAGGTACGTAGAGAAATTACCTGCAGTTGAAACCCAGCTAACCATGCAGCTTTCACTCAAGGGACAGTCTGCTGGACAAAGACTGTACTTAACTTTCCCCCAATCGATCAAAACAAATCATAGTCCCATTTCTGTTGTGCCTGGTGTGTAGGCACGGAAATAAAAAGACCCATTTTCAGCCCAGAAGGAAGTTTACATGGGCAGCGCAGAAAAGCAGGCTTCCCACATGGGAGATAGCGTGGCCGCTGGATCGGGGAGGCCAGCGGATGTGAAATATGCCAGAGTGGACTGAAAATGGCCCGGCTCTGTCTTATCTTTATCTTCTCTGTCCTCAGTCCATGTTCAGTTCCTAGTTAGTGGCAGTGACAGTAAACTCCCATCCATGGCTCTTACCCAGCACGCCTCGGGCTGCACTGTCCAGGGTCCCTCCATGCCCGATTTTCAAAGTCTGCTTTTTCCTCTTGACCCAATCTGGAGAAGGCATCCCAGCTTCTGTGAGCAAACGGGGAGAAAAAGGTAATTACCAAGCCCAAGGCAAATGAAGTAGCATCTTCACAAATATGGGACGGGGAAGGAAGATGAGGTATTTAAAACAAATAAAAAGTATTATATACACTTAACAATTTAGATCATGACAACATTACTAGCAAAAAAAAAAAAAAAAAAAACAGATTTAAAAATGGATACTCCCTAATTACAAAAATTACAGTATTCCCAAATCAGTGATCTAGAAACTAGGATTCATTTTTTCAATCAGGAAAAGATTATATTTTTTAAAAGTGGGTAGTCCTGGCAGGTATAGTTCAGTGTGCCGTGTATCAAAAGGTAGTTCCCTGGGGTTCAATCCCAGGTGGGGAGCATACAGGAGGCAGCGTACTAATGTTTCTCTTTTTCTCTCTCTCTCTTTCTCTCTCTCCCCCTCCCTCTATTCCTTCCTCTCTCTTAAAAAAAACAAAAATCAATATAAGTATTTTTTTAATATTTCAAAACAAAAATAAAAAGAGCAACAACAAAAAAGAGGATGCCCACCTGTGCTATCTCATATTCTACTAAAGATAAAATGAAATAATGTTACTTGAAAGTGCTTTGGAAATGGCAAAACACTTTACCCGCAGGTAGCTGTTGTTATCATGGTGTATAAGAATGTATTAAAAGAATACTGGTTCCTGGACTTCAACTAAGAAAGGAGAGGAGCTGGAACGGCTGTATTGATCCACGCCAGCCAAGCTGGCCAAGGCTTCCTTATCACCACTGTCACCAAGAAGACAGAAGACACAGCAAAAGAAAATGAAAAGAGAGGAGAGAAAAAAGAAAAAAAAAAAAAAAAGGAAAAGGGCCAAAGCAAAGCAATAGTGGAGAAGCCAAAAAAACTGTGCTGGGTTACTGAGCCTCACCACATAACCACCCCCTACGGAGATAGAACCATGGCTTCTGGAACAGCCTTCCGGCCGCTCTCTCAATAGGACACGGGCATGCTGTCTGCTTTAATATAAACCTGTAAGGCCTGGCCTGGGCTGCCCACTCTTCTCCTTTCACTTACAACCTGTTACGGATCTCTCATCCCTGAGTTTACAGAGACCTTTGGGGGAATTCTTTCTCTCTTCAGCTTGACATTCTGGGAGTAGAAAGGCCTATATATTTACTGTCTTCCTCCTGTGTCCAAATTTACCCCTTTCAAGTGTGAAGGCATATCACTCTACTCTACTGGAGTTCGGTTCGCCCCACTGGTTCCATTCATGGATGACTATCTAGTATGGTCTTTTCTAGCCATAAAATTCTGATGTTCGGGCCTTAAAAGATTCAAACAGGCAAAGAAGAGCAGGAATTTTAGTGTGACATGAATCAATGTAAGGAAAGGCAAGGAATGTTAATACATAGAGGTCATGACCACTGACTGGGGTTGTCAAACCGGCTGGCATTAGATTCTGGTGCCCTGGAATCTGTCTCTTTAAGAACCATCCCAGGTAATCACAACAGGCAGTCAGAAATGCTTTTGGGAAGCCTTGGTGTAGCTTATATAAATACAGAAGAGGCCAATCACCAGCAACACAGAAATGGAGCGTAGCAATGAGGATGTTTGTATCTGAGTGAGCAGCTTCCAGGAAAAGCCACAGGCACGTCCAGCAATGCCCTGACACATCAGTTCTAACCAAATTTCAAGAAGAAACTCCAGTTCGTGGAGGCAGATTAACCAGAAAGCCAGGATTTGGCTTTGATCCTATCAGAAATCTGTCAAAGAAAAAGAACAGTATTCATTACCTTGAGGGTCAAAAAAAAAGCCTTCAGTTTAGCTAACAAGTCGGGCCAAATGAATGCAGCAATTCTGTGAAAGGAAACAACTCCACAAAGCTTGCCCTGATGCAATTTTTTTCTTTCAACATCTCCTTTGTCACCCAGCCCTACAGGTAACAAAAGTATAAGGCCAGTTTAACAAAAGAAGGAGCGGGTATAAAACTGGAATAAAGCATCTGCAAGAGGGTACCTATTGCCAATAAACATGTAAATCTGTATGTATATGTTTCAACGAACAAAGTCTTAGCAGGATAATTTGCTTTTGCATTTAAAAAAAAATGTCAAGTTTGCCAGGGGATAGTAGACGGTGAGACGGTTAACTCCTGCACTGGTTGAATGAAAAGATAGGCCAGGACCAAAGTCTGAGGATCTCACCAATCAGGCTAAACCATTTTACCACCAAAGGCTGCCAAAATTACGAGGTCACCAGCTCAGGTGAGGGTTTACCTTCACATCCCTCCAGGCTAACACAGATCGGGATTACTGTAGGTGTCCAACAAATAGCTAAGGTTCCTTGATGCCACTGCCTGAAATGATCTACTAGGCCTAGCAGATGGTCTGAGAGAACCTTCAGGCTTTTCGGATGTTCTTCCGGTGTACATGGCAAAGCAAACGAACAAAAAGAATGTTCCTAGAGAAGTGACCAAGTTCTAGTGAGTGTTCCCAAAATGTGGCCCCTAGACTATTGACACCAGAATTATCTGGAGCAATAGTTTTAAAACACAGTTTCCTTAAAATACCCCAGTCCTTGGAATTACAAGCTCAGGGAGGGCAAGGAATGGGAATCTGTACTTGCACAAGGGTCTCTAATACTTCTTAGGCCCGCTATGTGAAAACCTCTGCACTAAACCTTGGTTCATAAAAGAAACACGTGTCTGCATTTCCAACATCCTCTCCCATGCAACTTCAGAGGCATGGAGTCGGCGCTTCCTTTGGGTGGCGTTCCCCCGACGTGAGCTACACCGGAGGCTCCTCCGAGGTCAGATTACAGCAAGGCCAAGTGCCAGGCTGCATTTGTGAACGCGTGGGCTTTGTTGTGCTTTGTTCCCTCGGGAGAGACAACTGCCAAGTAGGCTACAGGACGCCCCAGATGCCGAGACGCCCCAGATGTGGGTCCAGATCTACCGCAGCGGCCACGCTCCCTTTCCTTTCATCTCTTGAGCCTTGAACAGTGGCTCCCGCTTTCCTCTCGGCCCCCACCCGGGCTGCAGTACCTGCCAGCAGCTTCTCCTTCAGCCGATTCAGCAGCTCGGCTGAGGTGGGCCCCTTGGGCTTGTGCACGGCGAACACGCCGCTCAGGGACAGCAGCTTCGTAGCCAAAGCGGCCTTGGAGACCCTGGCTCCGGGCCCCATCCTGGCCGCGGCCGCCACCGCCACCGCCGCGGCTGCAGCGGCTCCTGCAGCCTCAGGGCCTGGGGCTGAGTCTGCCTCCAAAGACGACGACGACGAGGGTGACAAGGCTGCAGCCGCAGCCGCCGCCGCCGCCGCCGCCTCAGCAGAGGCCATGCTTTTGCAGCCCTGGGCTGTTTTGTACCTGCGGTCGCGCCCTGATGACGCAACAAGGAGCGCGCCCGGCTCCAAAGCGGTGCTGCCGGGTGGGTGTGTCGCAGGGGCTTCTGGGAGTTGTAGTCCACGGACTCCCTGCGCAGGCTGAGCGGCAGCTGTGCCTTCTGAGGGCTGTGATGGAGTAAGTGGTTTTTCTCTTATATTCTCGTTTGCTTCTTCGAGTATGTCAGTGCGGGGCCGCAGGTGTCATTTAGAATGGCAAGAACTAAGCTGTTGTGCCCAAACACCAAATCTGTGTGTATTTTCGGCGGGAAATCTCTTCACATTGCACTTGCTCACAGCCCTTGACAGAACTAAGATCCAGCACCCAAGAAGAGAAAACTAAAAATTCAGACTTTTGAAGAACTGTGACTTCATTGAGTTTTTTGTGCTCTTGGATTTACGGTTTTAGAATTAAAATGTTCCTGAACCTACTCACCTGTTCCCTGTTGTATGGTTCGCCAGTGCCTCACACACTGGTTATTTGGAAATGAATAAATGGATTCAGAGTCTTCCAATCCCCGAAAGAGACTTCTAGGCCTGGCCAGTATGAAATCACGTGGGCTGTTTTGACACCCCCCAGGCACTCTCTGCTCTGTCCGCTCCCATCCCTTACAAGTCATTAAGTGTAATTCTGAATAATTCCAAGATTTTAAATTCTGACTCTTTGGTGGATTGCATCCCTTTGGAACATACTGCTTATGTATCAAACGACATTATTATAATTGATAAGATGAAACTTTACTTTCCCTCTGAGGCCTCTCTCTCTGGGAGATAAGCGCTCCCCAACACAACTTAGGGATATGGTTCTGGTCTGGCCCGAGACAGAACGGAGAGCAGGTCTTCGTTTTACTTCTGCTCCAGATGCATAACATCAGATTATGAGTGTTGTCAGGCAGATAAGGTTTTCCTTCCTTGTTTCCCTTACAGTAGCCCTTCTTCCTTCCCCTCCTCCTCCTCCTCCTCCTCCTCCTCCTCCTCCTCCTCCTCCTCCTCCTTCTCCTCCTCCTCCTCCTCCTCTTGCACATTAGTAATATCTTGCATCCTAATGGTGCCTCTTAGCTTCTCAGACTCACCTCTCAGGGGACTCCATTTGAAGTGCCACAAATTCATGAAAGAATAATATTTTCAAAACTGTTGTGCTTCCTCTGTTTTCACCATCCCCCATTTCAACCAGATTCTCATGAAACCTTTGGGGTGTACAACCATGCAAAGGTACGTAAAGCCACAAAACCGTACACTAACATGGGACAATTTTATGTGATGCATATCAGACCACAAAACAAAGAAAGGCCGGAAAAAATATTTGGGGAGTTTTTGCTGGGTGCAGATAAGCTGAGATTCCTAAGAGGGAGTCACTTAGTCTTGTGGGCTATTATAAAAGCCCAAGCTAAATGAAAACATTACACCTGGGCCAAGGGGAGTGGGTAGAGGCCAGAAGAGAAGAGAATTCTTTCAAGAATAAGGACAGAGAAAGGGAAAGATGGTCAGGACCCAGGATCAGTGGATACCTGAGCCAGCTTCTGGAGTTTCCTGGAAGGTGGCGTAACTTCAGATGGAGGGCTGCACCCTGGGGAGCACAGCACCCTCCAGCTTCAGCAAAGATCGCTGTGCTCTCCCCTGGGCTTAGAAGCAGAGAGAGAGTTTAAAGCAGACGTGAGCAATGATGACTGGGAGATTACAGAGCCTTTACCCATGTCTAGACATCAGTAAGCTTCCCTAATGCAGTCGTGACCCTGGGGTGTGGGGAGTGAAGGGAGGGCAGAAGTAGGGGTGAAGAAATAATACTTCCATTCGAGTGTTCCACGAGTGCAATGCAGAACCAAAGTTAATTCGATTAAAAGGAAGAAAAGAAATGGATTTTTCTTGCACATTTTATTTCTGGGTTGCAAGAACAGCAAAATTTATTTCTGAACAGCAAAATTAATTCTACTCTCTGCTGTCAGGTCTGTATTCTTGGCATCAGAAGCACCGGGTTCTAATTTTCTGAAGTAACCAACATCTACATCTACAAGCCTTGAATTTATAGGTTATCTTACTTAATATATGTAGGAGTTGAAACTCTTTGTTTGGGAGTAACAGGAATTGATTCATACCAGCATAGGGTTTTATCAGAAGGATATGTTTAAAAGGATTTATCAGAAGTATATTGGAATATTATGCATACTCTGGGAAGTTCTCTCTCCCTCCGCATCCTCCTTTTGTGCTACCCTCTTATGTCTTCTTTATTCTTCTCTTTTGATTCTAACAGGCTCCCCCACTCCCCACTCCTCATTCCAGATTCTTGGTTTAAACCATCCTGTTTGATTTTTTAAATATAAATATATATATATATATATATATAATATACATATTATATATATATATATTTATTTTTAATTGATGTCAGAGAGGAAGGGAGAGGGAGAGATAGAAACATCAATGATGAGAGAGAATCATTGATTGGCTGCCTCCTGCACACCTCCTATTGGGGATCGAGCCTGCAACCAAGGTATGTGCCCTTGACTAGAATCGAACCTGGGACTCTCTGGTCCGCAGGCTGATGCTCTATCCGCTAAGCAAAACTAGCTAGGGCTAACCCATCCTCTTTTGATCCAGTTCCAAAAATATTCAAGATGAAGACACTCCTGGCCACCTACAAAACATTGTGCTTCATTCATTTTGTCCCTCAACTTTCCTCATTCCCTTTCCTGCTTGTTTTTTTTTTTTTTTCCTGTAGCACATGTCATCTGACAGACCAAATATTTACTTATCTTGTCTAATGTAATATTTCCTCCATCAGATTGGAAGCTCCATGAGGAATTTGCGTATTTTTTTTTTCCATTGCTATAGCTCAAGGGCCTGGAATAGGGTCAGCTATAGCACTCAATAAATAGCTGTTGTGTAAATGAGTGAATAAACATAGCAGCTCCAGCAGAAGCCATGTGGATAGAAAAGCAGAGTGCTGAATACGTAAAATAGTAGATGCATATTCCAAGTGTCACTTCCCTTGTGTGGCTTCCAATGCTTATATCTCCTTTTATCTGTTTGCAACTTGAGGTCAAGAGAAAAGATTACCAAATAAGACCCAAACTTTCTAGACCAACTTTCATGCTGCCCTCAATTACCCATGTATGTGCCTCCAAGGGTTGTTAACTAACAAGACTAAAAAATGATGAGAATTCCGGTTTTATTAAAAATTTGCCGCTGGCTCCTCCACAGTTGCATTCCTGGGGCACTTACCTGATCCTTGCCATGGGTGTGTATGCTTGGGAAAGCGATGCTTCGCAAATTCTCCAATTGTTGCTTATCTGTGCGATTTCCTATAGAGAGTAGAGTCATAGAAAATAGTGCTTTATGAGAACTTGTGGGCCATGTAGTCTTAAGTCCTTCATTTTAAAACTGAAGCACAGAAATAAAGGTGTTTCATATATATATAATTTTTTTCAAAGGCAAGTCATAGAAAAGATGGTTCAGAATTAACCTAAGTGAAAAAGTTGGGGGCGGGGGGGTGGGGGGGATGTCTGCATTGAGCCTTACATGAGTGCAATATAAAATGGCCACCAGAACAGTAGAATGTAATCTTGGGAGCAATAACAGAATTACTGTGTCTAAAGCAGTGATTTTCAACCATTTTCATCTCATGGCACACATAAATTATTCACTAATTTGTTGCCGATCTGACAACAAATATATATTATTGATTCATTCACTCCAGACAGCTATTGTTGGGTTGCCTGTTGTTATTTTTTTTTTTATTATTGGACAATCTAAGGGGGAAAAGGTCAGTGCCCCTGACTAAATGGTCTGGCATGGCATGTTTTAAAAATTTGTGCAGCACACTGGTTGAAAATCCCTGGCCCAGTGTGAGGGAGGTGTTACCAGGCCCTGATAACATGGCTGACTCGAGGCAATACTTCATACTCCCGGTCTTCTGCTGTCTCAACGATTTCTTGTCCCCTCTCTTCTCAGTTCCATAACAAGTTATCTGATGAGCTACCCCTAATAAGGTACGGTGTTAAATCAAAGAAAACTACCACTTCTGTAGCTCAGAAGGTTTGAATACCAGCAATTTCAATCTAATACTCACACCTGGTCATAGCTGAAGGCACCACTTCGCTGAGAGTATTTGCGTTTTAGCAGGGGAATCCAGGAGAGAATGGTCTTCATTAGGAAGCGGAGATCTTGTGAACAAGAAAACATTGTGATGCTTGCCAGATCACACCAGGCCCAAACTCTGTTTTCTTGGCAGCTGTTCCATTAAGCTATACCCATACCTCTTTACGGTATTGTCAACTCCTATCCATTCAAATAAATTAATGTTCCCATCTGAGCTGACTCATTTGGCAGGGAAAGCTAGTTCACCTGCTAATGCATTAGCTGGCTCACATGACCACTTTCTCTCTCTAAAAAAAAAAAAAAAACTCACCCACAGTTTCCTATTAATAAGCCAAAAAGAAGTAATATGCCCTCCTTTCCCAAAAATAGGAGTTCGGGTTAAATAAATGTGAAAACTTTACAGGGCAAAGAAGTAGGAAAGAGGGGACATGATGCAGAAAGACCCGAGATGATAGATTTATTTTACAATGTACAAAATAAGAGTACTTGATATTTTTTTTTCTTTTGGACCCAAAGAGATCCCTGTAATTACTCCTGAGTTCTCATAACATTTATTCAAAGGGCATTTTGATTCCCTACAATGTCCACAATGTTATTCAAGTATATGAAGGGCATTTAATAAAATTTCAAAGTAAACCAGCATTATAAGTATTGACTTTTTATTAAATGGCATGAATACTATAAATATAAATATTTATAGTTTAATATAA